TCGGAGAACCCTCTGCTTAAATTCACTACGTTCAATTACCCACCATAGACTCCGGTCAGTCAAAATGACTATTTGGACTGTAGGCAGAGTCAGACGCCAATAGGTGGCGGGTTTTCCGAGCAAACAGAAAAATGATGAAAGTCTCTACCCAGTCCGGGATGAAAACAAACTATAATCAACTCCATATCTTAGTTAAGACCTTGCCTGAGCTGTTCCCGAAGCAAAAGCCCAAGTGCTGCTATGGTAACAGGGTTCGGTATGCCCGAGAAAGCTAGACCCAAATAAGCTTGAAGTAAGGACCGAAACAGTTTGCATGAGAGCGTAGGTCGAAAAAGCGAAACCTGGGAGCTTCAAGGAAGTGCTAGTGGTACAGACAATCTGTCCGCAAAAAATGCCAAGACTGACTTATCGCCTATGCGCAGGGGCCCCTGTGGTCGTTCGGGCTGGGTCGATAACCAAAGCCTGACCTGCTACGATGGGACCTAACCTGAAGAGACCCTGCTCAATAGATTGGGTGTCTCTTAGGTAGTAGTTGATAAAGACGTTCTGCGTTCTCCAGAAGCCTGCCCTGTGTTCGAGGGGGGCGCCTGACGCTAGCGCTAGTGAGTTAGCAATCACACAGACCTCATGTGCTTGTACTTGGTGTCTCTGCAAAGTCTGTGTTGAGGAGGATAATGTATTATAGACCTCCAGTACAGTCGCAGTAATCCACCTGGAGATGGAAGTCAGGGAGGCCGTCTTATCCTGTTTGCCAGGGTCGTAACACAAAAACATGTGTTTGGTTCCCCATCTGGAAAACCCGGTATGGTTCTCGTAGCAACTCAATAGGACAATCGGCTATACTTGACCCCAAAGAGTTCCCTATGGCGGGGGACAAGGCTGACCTGTAGCCAGCGATCGCTTCGTAGGACAAACCTACTTCGTGAAACAAGTGGACAAAGAAGTCTGCTACCTGGCCGATAGAGGGATGTAGTAGTAGTCCAGAGTTTTAAATCCGGTTTTGTCCCCGAAGACGAGGGTGGCCGGATTCACCTTAAACTAGTGGCAATCGCTCTTACCCCTCCCTCCACTTTGCACGATTCAAAGCATCCCTCATCCTCATCCCAACCTTCCCACTCTCCTCCTCCACTTGCATCTTTCACGTCTTCATTGGCCTTCCCCTTTTCCTTGGACCACTCACCTCTAAATCAAGGGCCCTTCTTAATACATGCCCATCCTCCCTCCTCAGCACATGGTCATACCAACGTACCCCATTTGCCTTCGCCAACCGATCTACCGCTTCCTTCAAACCCAACATCTGCATCAAGTCCTCAGTTACTTTTCTGTCCATCAACTTCACCCCACACATCACTCTCACCATCGCTCTCTCTGTCCTCCTTAATCCTCTACCTCTCAAGTCTAACTTGTTATGGTGCTTCTGGGTGCCTGCAGGCTGACACCCTTTCTGCACCAAGTACAAGTTGCTATGTTTACCAAGAACCTATTGTGTTTTCTACCAAGTTCAATTCAGTATGTAAAGGTCATCTGCCCCTCCCTAAGGGGTGACTCAATATCTAGGCTAA